CGGCATGGGCAAACCAGGGAGGATACAGGCAGCACAGCAGCAGATGAAGCAGGAAGCAGATAGAAAAGCATCAGATCAAGCAGAAAGCACGGGAAAGAAGGCAGAAAGCAGAGCAGCAGATCAGGCAGAGGAAGGAGATCAGAGTGGCACCTGGAGATTGCAGGGCTAATCCGTGGCTCACCTGTCAAAAAGGTTGGCCCCCACTGGTCTAGAAGGGCTCTCCATGGGAAAGATTTGATCTCTAAAACAGTCTCTCAAGTTTGAAAACGCTTTCCAACCATCAGAGCACTGAGCTTCTAAAACTACTCTCAACAGAAGCAGTGAGAATAAAAACTACAAGTTCTGTTCAGATTGATCTTGCTCAGTTTAATTAAAAGGGTTGTATGATGTGGCTGCCTTTAACAGCCAACAACTGGACTCAACTGCCCAAGAGACCTGGTGTTCTTACATTTTTAATCCTGATTAACGAAAGGATCAATGGATGGGATATCTTGTATTTAAATGTATTGCTTCATTTAGTTCATGGTTGCACATGTTCACACACACACACACACACACACACACACACACACACACACAGTAAGACATATCTGCTCTGCAATGAATGTCTTTGGCAGCAAGTTGAGCGATTTAGAGAAAAAAAGCATTTTTGCAGGATCATTGCAAAGAATGCTGTCCGATTTACTATTCCAATACACTGATTTTACCCCCAAAGGAACTGAAAACCATTAAGGAATGAGCCTATTCTTAAAAAAAAGAAAAATCTCTAAAGCATGCCCAACATGGCAAGCCCTAAATTCAGTATGCACTGGCTACAGTGCTCCATTGATTTTAACTGTATTGAATAACTAAGGAAAACTACTGAAACAATACGCAACTGAATCAATTCTCCTCAATTACAACATATCAAAAACTGTGCTAACAGGAAATACCAGTTCATCAGAACCAAGACATTCTAGTAAAAGCACAGTTATTTAGACACCTGTCTGACTGACTGACCACCTTGCACTCAACTGAATTACTGGCAGGCTGTTGGATAAAGACTAGCTACCAAGGATACTCTGCCCATCACGCGGGATACCATATTTGCTTGCTCTCTCTCTCCAAAACCAGCTGGGAAAATAAAGGTATGAATTATATGTATGGAAAAGGGATCCCACAAGTCCAGAAATTTGGTGGGGAGGGCTTTGGGAGCTATGACAATTAATAGTGCCAGTGCTCCCCACTCCCCAAATTTTGGACCTATGGGAAGCTCCCTTCCAATCCACACATCGAATTGAGCCGGTGCAGGTTCAGACTACAGCCAGAAGCAGGGTATCAAGTCTGACCTGACAGACAGTCTCAGACCTGGCATCCCAGGTCTGACCCCACACACTGGCTGCAGAGCCATGTGCTCAGTCAAATTTGCCATGCTGAGCCTCACCTCACATGCTGGCTTTGGAACCGCATGCCAGATCAAACCCTGTATACTGGGTCAGACCCAGCATGTGGTTACAGAACCAGTGAGCAGCGCCAGGCCCACCACGTGGTCTCCAACCCACTGTGCCAGACTGGGCCTGTTACATAGCCTCAGATCTGTTGCATGGGGTTGGACTTGGCTCGCAGCCTCAGACCCAGCATGCTGGATTAGTCTGCAGGTGCAAGGGCAGATCCAGAGTGGGTGCGATGGCGTGGAAACACCGACCTTTCGGTCAACACTGCAGGAGAGGCAGTAATGGACTTGGTTTTGTTTAAATTCCCAGAGGAATTAGGAATTCCCACCCTGCTTTTCCCTCTGTGGCATGCACCACCCCACCACCCCCCTCCCGCACCCACTGCTGCTGCTGTCCCTACTCCAGTTGGGCTCCTCCTCCCCATCCAGTCCCCTAGGTATTCTTTGCCAGTCCGGGAGCTTGCTACCACTGCTGTCCCCAGCTGATTCCAGCTTCCCTCACAGGCTGGCTGGAGTGAGCAGGAGCGACTCTGAAGCCTCATCCCCCTCACTCTGAGGGCAACCAGGGACAGGGGCAGCAGCAGGAGGTGGAAGGAGAGGAGGAACTGGAGAGGAATGGATGTCACTGAGTACAGAGAAGGAGTGAGGACCAAGACAGCAGAAGAAAGTCTCTTACCTGATTGGGGGACTTAAACAAGCCCCCTGCTGTTGCTTCCACCTGGTCAGGTAGGAAGCTGGGAGCAGGGGGTGCAACTAGCCCTGCAGCACAAGTAGCAGTTCCTGCATCCCCCCCCCATTACAAAATCCTGGATCTGCTCATGTGCAGGCAAGTGGGCCTGGCAGCAGGTGCATCTCCCTAGCTGCTGCTACTCAGATGCTTACCCAACGTAAGATGCTTTTTTTCTTCATGATACCTTTTCAAAAATAGGGTTGTATAATGTCCAGGGGTAGGTTATATGTGAAAAATTACAGTATTACAGGAATGCTGAAGTACTCCAGCCTGCCAGCCTACTGTTCAATGGGTCAGCCATAAATGTTTGGGGGTGCCCAGTAGGGGGCAGGAAGGAAATCATAGAATCACAGAATTCGGGTCGGAAGGACCTTGTAGATCTTCAAGTCCGACCCCCTGCCTGGGCAGGAGGAAAACTGGGCTCAAATGACCCCAGCCAGGTAGGCATCAAGCCTTGGAAATCTTTCCAATCAGAAATGTTTACACATTTCTAGTCCATGAAAAATGTTGCACTTCTGAATTTTTATTCCAAGGGAAGGAATGACTCTTGAAAAATCAAAAATTTCCAACAGAAAAGAAATCCCAGTTACCAAACAGCTCTAGCTTGAATTAAAAATGAATTATGAACATTTGATTGGTTTAACTCCCAAGTGCTTGCAAAATCATGCAGATAATTTATATTGATGAGTAACTGGAAAACAACTGTCTCATAAAAAATGGAGAGTTGCAATTTCATAAATAAATGGAAAGACTTCACAAATATTTTAGAATCGTCCATCATCGCTATCACCCCATTCTCCTCTTAACATGCAGAAATAAATTATATTGTACTAAGAATATTACAATTATATTGTACAATTGTACAATTATATTGTACTAAGAATATTAATGGTTACAAATTAACAACTTTACTGAGGAAATGGATTTTTAGTAGTTCTGAAGAGGCAAGAATAAGTTCAGATGTGAAGCAAGGTTAAGAGTGAAATTAAACATCCAAAATGTGTAATTCTGCATTATAATTATTATATATTTTACATAGAAAAACATTCCTAAATGTTTAAAAATATAAAATCGGCTAACATTAGGTAGCATGGTCTACTGTGGAATATAAATCCCAGACACCAGAACTAAAATTACACCAGATCTTCACCAAAATAGAAAACAAACCAGTTAACATTAATGCCGTTTTTAATTTTTCAAATATAACCCTAAGCTTAAATAACCTATTTAATCCAAATATATCATAAGACCAAAGTGAGAACCATGCAGCTAACAGATCTATCAGCTTTCATAGCTTAGAAATAAGTTTTTAACCATGTTATTTTAAAACAAGGTAAACCTAAGAACAGGGATCAGATCCAACCTGAGGATGTGGCCTTTCAGTGGCGCTCAGCCACAGGGGGCTTTGCTTGTAGGCACCTTCCCCATGCTGCTGTGTGGAAAAGTGGTGACAGTGGCAGCTGGATCATAATGCTTACCCACCCATGTGGCTCTTGCCTGAATCGATTCATGGTGGCACACACCTTAAAAAGGTTTCCAACTGCTGCCAAACAGAATCACATGCCAGGCCACCAAAAAAATAAAAAGTGATTGAGCAACTGATGGTTCAGAGTGATCACTGGAATTTGCTCTGCAATTCAGGAAAAACAAGAGCAGACCAGCATAGAGCAGGAGTCAGCAACCTACCACCAAAAGGCTGCATCCAGAGTGCCAAGAAATTTCGTCTATCCAGCGAAGCCAGGAGGTCACCAGCAACTTAAAAGCTGGGGAAGCAGCAGAAGGGTCACTAGCATGTTGGCATGTTTCAGTGGCTGGGGGAAGTGGCAATGGCCAGTCACAGCCAGCGACCAACCTTTGGGTTGAGGGACTGCACAGCTTTATTTCAAGACAGCCTGCCTGCCACTCCTAAAAGGTTGCCGACCCCTGGTATAGAGCATGCAGAATACAGTACCATGTCTGATGCCCCATTTTGGACATCCAAGTTTTGGTTTGGTTTTTGTTTGTTTGGTCATTTGTTTTTGGTTTTCATTGTTTTTGTTGGGGTTTTTTTTTTTT